ATATGCGGTGCGCAGTGGGTCTGGGCGGGGGCAGCGCGGAGTGGGCAGGGGCTGGGTGGGCAGCGCGGGCCAAATCCCCGCTGCTGCCAGGGAACCCCACGCCTCTCCCTCCCGCTCGTGGCTGCGGCTCCTTCCCGGCGGGACGCACCTCCCGCCGCCCCGGCCACATGCGGCGCGCGTCCCCCGCTCCTAGTCTCCCTCCCGCTGGGAGGGAGCCGCTGGATGCACGCCGCATGTGCCCGGGGCGGGCCGGGGGGCACGTCCCGCCGGGAAGGAGCTGCAGCCGCGAGTGGGAGGGAGAGGCGCGGGGCTCCCTGGCAGCAGTGGGGATTCGGCCCACGCCCCCGCGCCGCCCACCTGGCCCCTGCTCGCTCCGCGCTGCCCCCGCCCGGACCCACCGCGCTGCCTCGCGGGCTGCAGGGCTGGAGCAGCCTCCAGGCTGCGCTCCCGGCCCCGGCCCCAGTGTGCAGCGGCCCGGGGGCTGGGCAGGAGCCCGCTGGTGCAGCGGGGGGCTCAGAGCTGAGCCCCCCCGTCTCCCTCCCTTGCCAGCCCCCCTTTGCCCGCCTGGTGCCCGGGTGCCGGAGCTGACTCACCAGCTCCAGGATCCAGGCACCGCCGCCACCCCCTCTCTCCAGGCTTGCGCCGCCATGCTGCAAGCCTGGGAGGGAGGAGGAATGCTGCATGGTTGGGGAAGAGGCGGGGCAGGGCAGGAATTTGGGGAGGGAGCCAATGGGGGAAGGAGGGGGCGGAGCCGGGGGGAGGGGCAACAGTCCATCCGGGAGGGCAAAATTTCTTTTTTGTCCAGTGTCCCGACCAAACATTGGTCGGGACACGGGACAAAGAAGCAAATATCGGGACAGTCCCGATAAAATCGGGACGTCTGGTCACCCTAGTGCATGGGAGGGAAGTCGGAGGAGCGGCAGCTCAGAAACGCTAGTGGCTGCTCTCCCCTAACACGCCCCCTGCGAAAGTTCAGGTGATAAGGGACAAAGAGACTCCTGATCATTCCCTGTTAGGTTCACTCCCTCTGGGGCACCTGGCATTGGCCACTGTCGGTAGACAGGATACTGGATACTAGATGGACCTTTGGTCTGACCCAATACGGCCGTTCTTATGTTCTAAGGGGAGCCCATGTAGGGTGAACCGATAGCAAGTGTGAAAAATCAGGACAGTTTTTTGGGGTGGGGGTTTATAGTTGCCTATATAAGCCCCTAATATTGGGATAGTCCCGATAATATCAGGATGTCTGGTCATCCTAAGCCAATGTAAGGGAGTAAGAGGGGCTCCTTACCCCCCTAAGCAGGGGGGAAAGCTGAGTTTATGACTGAGCCTTTAGCTTTTACATCTGCTTGAAGCTGGAAACTGCCTTTCTAGCTAAGGTGCCAAAGGATACATCTGTGATTCCCAGCATCAGTGTCAATAAAGCCTCAAACTGTGGTTTTTTTTCCATTTCACTCTGCGGCTCCCCAAGCATTAAAAAAAAGGGAAAATATACTTATACTTACAGTTGTGCTGGAATCACAGCACTATATGGGGACCTGAGGGCTATATCACACAATAGGTGCCCCTGGATAGAAAGCTGCCCTCTCCATGGGCAATAATATACTAAAAATGAAATTAGAAAAAGAATTGTCATGTGAAAATGAAAACAATGCAAATAAAGCTACAGTTAAATTCAACTTTTCAAACCAACAAGAGGTTCTCTTACCTTTATTTTCAAGCTCAATTCTAGAGAAAAAAGGGGAGGGAGGGAGAAAAGAAGAATACTTAAAAATGGTCAAGGAAAAGCGGCACATGACTGAATGTTGTACAATAATGTAAAGTCGCTTACATTCTTTTATGATTTAATGTTGACATTATTTTAGGTTCCGTGTACTGAAAGGCTATTATTACATAGGGACAGATCTGTCTCGGGCGTTCAACAACACTGTCACTGGAAAATTCATATACGTAATACTGGAAAGAAAATAAAGGAAAAACAGATGAAAGAGAATGACTTCATTCAGCAGTGCCTTAATGCCGTCCTTCATCCCACCCCCATCTCACATTAAGTTCAGAAATATTTCTTCAAGCCGTTTCTTCGTTGCCAGCCACTGTACCTGACTCAATTCGAAGGCCCGAAAATGACTAGTCTCCAAGGAAATATTGTTTATATTCACAGAGATGTGGCAGTCATAGCCAGGAGTCGGATTGGTGTAATTCGCTGTGTAATTCTCTGGCATGAACTTGACCTTTCCCTGTGACAAACACATTTGCCAAAAAATAACGCTGGTAAAAATGCTTTAAACAGAAGCAAACCACCCGCGAATTTGAAGGTAACTTTGCCATCCTTCCCAGAATCTCAAAGCTCTCTATAAAAGGTGTTACATGCACATCCTCCACAACTCCCTGAAAGAGGGAGACCAACAAATCGATCTCCACATCGGGGTCCTGCTGAGCAAGGCAAGCAGATGGTGGGGAGACAGGGAGCCTATGTCCTCCACCGCACACTCGTTGCGGTGAGTGCAGGGGCGGAGAACCAGAAACAGGGCACTGGGGGCAGTCTGGGGCTGTGTGGAATGGAGGGGGGCTATGGTTAGAGAGTCTGGCTCAAAGCGTGGGTGGATTGCTGGGAGCCTTGGGAGTGGCAAGGAACTTGGAGCTGCCTTTCCCACTCTGCTCTCCTATTTCCATACCCCCCCCCACCACTGCTCTGCCACCAATGCCCCACCGCTGCCACCACCACCTCCCTGCTGCCAGGAGGGCTCAGAGAATGCTGGCCAAGCACCACCTGGAGAACCAGAGAGGGGAGGCAAGAGAGGATGCCTGAAATCCAGCATCACAGCAGTGCCCAGTGGCCAGGAGGACAAACTTCAACGTGCTGTGCCACAGGCACAGCCAGATATGTGACACTGTAACAGGGCTGCAAGCTTGCGTGACACGTGGGTGCTCTGGGGCTGGAGCTCCCATGGGGAAAAATTGCTGGGTGCTCTGCACCCACCGGCAGCTCCCCGCCCCCCCGCCCAGCTCACCTCTGCCTCAGCCTCTTCTCCTGAGCGTGCCTCGTGCCCACTTTTTCCCCCTAGCTCCCAGCGCTTGCACCACGAAACAGCTGTTTCGCACAGCAAGCGCTGGGAGGGAGGGGGAACACGGTACGCTCGGGGGAAGAGGCAGGGCTGAGGCAGGGATTTGGGGAGAAGTCCAATAGGGGCAGGGGGGGGCAGAGTTAGGGCAGGGACTTTGGGGGAAGAGGTTGGAATGGGGGCGGGGCAGGGGTGGAGTTGGAGCAAGGCCTGGGGCGGGGGGCGCGAGCACCCACTGGCGCCGGGAAAAGTTGGCGCCTATGGTGACACGGCTGCCGGAGGGATCAGTGTCACGCCAGATGCTTAACATTTGGAAGTGATGTAATTCTGCCTTTGGATAGGAGTATGTGTGCCGCTCCAATCAGCTTCCATGGAAGCCCCATCTTTGCACCCAAAAGCTGAGTTTGTCATTTAAGTCTAACAGCGTAGTAAATAGGGTGACTAGGTGACTGGTTTTCGACCAGAAAACCCGGTCGAAAAGGGACCCTGGTGGCTCCGGTCGGCACCGCTGACCGGGCCATTAAAAGTCCAGTCGGCGGTGCTGCAGAGCCAAGCACCACCTGGAGAACCACAGAGAGGGGAGGCAAGAGGCTAGTCCCTACCTGTCCTGGGGCACTACGCTGCACCCCAGAAGCAGCCAGCAGGTCTAACTCCTAGGCAGGGGGGCTCTGGGGCTCCGCGTGCTGCCCCCGCCCCAAACACCATCTGCGCACTTGGGAGTTGGGGGGGGCACGGTGCTTGCGGGTGAGAACAGCACACGCCACGGAGCCTCCTGCCCCCCACCCCCTGCCTAGGAGCCGGACCTGCTGGCCGCTTCCGGGGCACAGCGCGGTGCCCCAGGACAGGCAGGCAGCCTGCCTTAGTCCCGCTGCACCGCTGAGAGGGAGCCGCCCAAGGTAAGCCTGCACCCCAACCCCGAGCCCCAACTCCCTGCCTCAGCCCTGAGCCCCCCCTGTACCCCAAGCCCCTCATCCCCAACTCCCTGCCTCAGCCCTGAGCCCCCCCTGCACCCCAAACCCCTTATCCCCGACCCCACCCCAAAGCCCGCACCCCCAGCCCTGAGCTCCTTCCCAAACCCGGAACCCCCTCTTGCACCCCAAACACCTCGTCCCTGGGCCAACCCCCGAGCCCGCACCCCCAGCCCAGAGCCCTCACCCCCTCCCGCACCCCAACCCCCTGCCCCAGCCCAGTGAAAGTGAGTGAGGGTGGGGGAGAGTGAGCCACCGAGGGAGGGGGAATGTAGTGACTGGGGGGCGGGACCTCAGGGAAGGGGCGGGGCAGAGCCTCCGGGAAGGGCATTCAGTTTTGTTCCAACAGAAAGTTGGCAACCCTAGTAGTAAATAATGCATCGTGGAACAAATACTGAAAGCCTTTCTCAGATGAAACCCTCAGTGATATCCACGCTTCTGGAGTAATATCAAGGCGCTCTTTGATCTCGCCTTTCGAGAAAGTACGCCTTTGACCATACTTTCATGGTGCACCGTGCCCCTAATCAATATGTACTAAATACCCTGGATTCCAAAAAAAGGTATCAATATAGTATTGATTTTATATCATATCAATATTAAGACAACACACCAATATTAACATTTTTGTCTTGCCTGCTGCTGTATGGGAACTTTCATTAACTAGACTGTGGGGAAAAAAAAAGATTTGAGTTTTACCTTAATTAGTTTAAAAATTACAATACAGCCAGATTTTCCATGATACCAGGGCCTTGGATGAAGGCAGTCTGAGTACTTGGAAACATAAGCCCCTTTAAAAAAATAAAATAAAAATATATTTAATATTCTTTTTGGAATTCTGGATTATAAATAATGACTAAATAAGAAAATCCCGATGAAAAACATTTTAGTATTATACTGTATGATCTGTTTTTTGAGTAAAACCTTAATTTTGAGCCTAAGCTACCTGAAAGTGTCCCTTTGTACCCTGAAAAGGGTTCTTAAAGGACTGAAACTCTGACGGCTCAGTGTTTGCTATTGTAGATTGTGGGTTCTGCATTATATTGTTTGTATGATACCCAAGCATACCATTAAGACCGCACGATTACTTCGCACCCCTCCCAAGACCCTCAAGCCTCACAGAAGATGTGTATGTTATAAGATTTTCCAAGTCAGAAGTGTTTAAATACATTTCAAAGTTAAAACTAAGGGCTATGGATTTATTTTAGATATGACTGGTTACAATGCACCTCATGCACTACCAAATTTAGGGCCTACTCCTGTGAGTAGTCCTATTGACTTAGTAGGAGTACTTACAGTACGCATTTGTAGGATCAGGACGCTCTATGGTGAAACCTGATGAAAGGTCAGAAAGAGCTGCGTATGTTGGCCTAGCGTTGAGAGGGTTAATACATGCTGGGGTTATCAATTTGGAATTTACGTAAGTAGGAGAGCTCAGACCAGATGTAATATGTGGTGTTTTGTTTGAGGGCTTGTTTGTATTCAGCTTTCACCTGGGTTAACTAAAGCGGGACAGTCTGTGGTTCAGACCAGATTACAACCACACCTTCCTACGCCTTCTCTGTAACCTCTACATGCCCCTCAACTTCCAGATGAAATAACTCTAAAGTATTTCATGATACAAGGGAGCTTTATGTGAAAGTCAGCACCTCCTACCCCCTTTCTCTGTGGGGAAAATCCAACAGTGCTTACAACCAAAAACACAGATAGCTACCAGCAACAGTCAAAAACGATATCTTCCAGTTCATTGGCTGCATTTATCCCTTGATTTCCATATACAAAAGGGTGGCAAGGGAAGGGAGTGAGATTATGTGTTTCAATTCATATAGGCAACAATTTCTTGGCAGCTGCTAGCGTACAAAACATCAGAAAAAAATGAAACCACAACATATCTTGAATTACTTTCAATAGAAGGAGCTATGTTCAAAAATATTAGGTCAAGCAGGAGAAAAACCACTAAGAAATTAAAATATTTCAGACACTTTCTATTTTAGCATTGCTTTCATGTAGCCCCCTTCCCGCAAAAAACCAAAAATGCATGTCTAAATTCTCAGAAATGTGTGTGTGATTCACTGCCACACTACTTCAGTTTTACGCCCGTTTGAGTCCACTGACTCCAGAATGTACGATTCCTGAGCAAGGAGGTGTAGTTACAATAATATCACTTTCGGTGGAACCAAAAATCTATTTCACCTCCCTGATACCAATAATAAAAGTAGTTTAAAACAAAAGCTATAATGCTAACAGATAGGTCGCCTTAGTTTCAAATTTGAAGTCAACTTCTCAGGGTGTCAAGTATCAGATCTCCAGACTGATTTTGGCCTGCATATTTATACCCGCCTCTGGAAATTTCCACCACATGCGACTGACCAAGTGGATATTCACCCACGAAAGCTTATGCTCCAATACGTCTGTTAGTCTATGTTGCTTTTTTCAGCGTGTTTTTGTTTGTTTGTTTGTTTGAACTTGAAAATGTAAAATTGATGTAAGCCTCTGAATTATGCATTTGATCAGCTATACAGTTGGGTGTGTAAAACAAGTTACAAATATCAGTGGCCCTAATAATCTAGATTTGCTTGTACTATTTTACTTTATAGTGAACAAAATGTCATAAAAGTTCGTTTGTATGTTTCTTTTCAAGAAACTGCTTGCAGTTCATTATAACAAGTCAGATATTTTCCCCCTCTACACTTAAATCTTACCTTTCGCTGGATCACCTAGCGTGGTAAGGGATCTGGTGTTTATACGAAGTCCACTCTGACACACTGCTTTTGCCTTCAAAATAAGTTATAGCCTCATTTATTTTAAAGATAAGATGTTTAGCTATCATGTCACTATTACAACACTTAGCAAACATACTTTCAGTTAATAAATGTATTTAAGTATTGCAAAAAAGTTAATTATTTTCACATCCACAAGACACTTATGATCTGAATATAATTACGGACAGATCCAATGTTCATTGAAGTCAGGGGAAAGAGGGCCCTAAATGCTGAGAGCCACTTATCAGGTCTGGCTATGACATTTAATGAACATTTTATATTCATGCAACACACAATGCTTTGGAAGTTTTTGGAAAATTCCACCCCCTCAGAAAAGTCTTGGCAGACAGATGGCTGACGTCTTGCACTTTCTTAATCTTCTAGCACTTTACTTCCACAACCTACAGAGTTTCTTCAAAAGGATGCTTGTAAACTCCTGTTTTCTGTCACTGAGGTTCTTTTTCATTCTAAATGTATCTGAGCTGTTTTGCTCATGTCTAAACTAGACTGTAAATTCACTGGGGGAGGGAAAATGCCTTTCCCTCTGTTTGCACAGTCTGTCAGCACTCAAACAATAACAACAACAGAGTTTTAAAAAAAAATCAGGAGTCACTGTCAAATCCTTTTTATCAGATAAATTCTCCTCTGGGTTATTTATACAGCAATGATCACAATGAAGAGGCAGTGCAGATTACAAAGAGAAACTAAACCATTTAAGAATAATTCTGATGGACTTCCTTGGGGAGGAGCCTCTTTGAAAATGAAAGTACTCAAAGATGCAGCATCTCAATATGTTATGCTGAACAACTTTTCCACGTTACCTCTCTTTCACTATCAAACAGAAGAAATGCATAGGTCTCGTCAAGTTCCTCCTTGGTATAGCCACTCGCTTCCTTTTCTTGGCTAAAAGTTTTGTACTGTAGAAGACACAAAAAGGCTGCTTCTTTTATATATTCCAAGTACTAGACTCATATTAATATTGTGACACAGGGAATATTATGCATTTATATAGCACATTTCATTTAAAGATCTTAAAGTGCTTTACAAACATTAACTAAAGGTAACTAAAATGCTTTTTTCTTTAATTAAAAAAAAAGCATTTAAGGTCTTACAGTCTTGAAAGTATACATACTTAATATGTATTAACAATTATATTTTATAAATCAAAATATGGTAGTTAATAATTAGTTCCTCCTTTATTTATGTAGCAAGACCCAAGTTCAGGGTCTGTGATTTCCCTACAAATATCAGTGACATCACTAACACCCAAAGCAATGCAAGGAAACATCTACCTGCACTGTTTAGATGCTAGTAAGATGCACAACTGCTGGTGCAGGGGAAACCGATCATGGAATGCCTAAAAAGCCTTTCAACACAAGTATTTATAGACTCAAAGACTTTAAGGCCAGAAGGGACCATCATGATCATCTAGTCTGACCTCCTGCCCCTGTACACGGAAGGCCACAGAACTTTGCCCACCCGTCCCTGTAATAGACCCATAACCTCTGGCTGAGTTATTGAAGTCATCAAATCATGATTTAAAGACTTCAAGTTACAGAAAATCCACCATTTACACTATTTTAAACCTGCAAGTGACTCGAGCCCCATGCTGCAGAGGAAGGTAAACAGCCCTCTGGGTTTCTGCCAATCTGACCCAGGAGAAAATTCCTTCCCGACCCCAAATACGATGATCAGTTAGACCCTGAGCATGTGGGCAAGACCCAGCAGCAGTGTATTTGTATTATTTGTTCATCTCTTCATCATAGTCTGTTAATTGTTTGAGGCCTTTTTTATTATTATTAAAAGAATTGCAGCAGTACATTTTTTACCCTCGCAACTTCCATGTGATGTAGGCATATGCTATATCTGTTTCACAGAAGGGGAAACTGAGGCATGAGGCAGTTGGAATACTGTATAGCCTAGGAGTCTTGGCTTCCAGTCCCCTGCTCTAAACACACTCCCTCTCTAGAACATAAAACATATTTAAAACGGACAGAATTCAAACTGACCTGCTTTAACTACAACATTTCCCAGGTCTAAGCAAACCAAAACAAAGAATTCTTCAGTCTTGCCCCTTTACAGAAATGCTACAAATCCCCGCCCTCGCCCCGCCTCTTCCCCAGGTATGCGGCCTGCGCGCCAATCAGCTGTATGGCGGCGGCGCAAGCGCTGGAGGGAGGCCAGACACCAGCGTGTGTGGCGCGGCCGCCACGAAGTTTAAGAAGGTGGTGCGGTGCAGCAGCTGCGCCTGGAGGCGAGCGGAGGAGGGATGGAGAGAGGAGGGTCGGGCAGTTGCTCCGAGTCCGCGCCTCTCTCTTGGCGCGGCGGCTGTGGGGGGTCCGGGGTGTGGGCGCCGTAACCCGAAACCTCCTGCCCGTGAGTGGAGCAGAGGCGGCGGGGGAAGAAGGAAGTGGCTCGGCTCAGCTCGGCAGTCCCACACACACTCCCGGCCCCGGGTGTGTTCTCGCTGCCCCCTGCTCCTGCGGCCTTCCCAGCCCCAACCCCTGGGACTTTGCCTCCTGCACCAGCTTTTTGTGCGGAGGAGGGACAAGCCCGTGCCGGGAGAGAGGCTGGCTTTTAGGGCAGAGGAGCAGCCGAGCACTGCATCTCTGATTGCAAAGCCGGGGGGCCCAGTCAGCGGCTTTTTTTTTTTGCTCCGCCACCCGGCGTCCCGATATTTCATCTTTGGCATCTGGTCACCCTAGACAAGCGTGGCTGTGCCTACTCTAGCGATTTTCTCAAAATCTCCTAGCGGTGCATTACCATTGGTGGTATCAGTAGCAGGAGGCAAGGAACAGTTATTTTTACCACTGTCTCATCTGTTTATTCTCGGAGAAGGTTTAGGTGACAGGATAGTTAAATGCTGGTGCCCAGTCGACACGACTCTCCTACCATTAGAGAACAACGAAAACTGCGCTGCATCTGTTCACATCTGGAAGGATTTCTTCACTGGCATCTGAGCTAACACTTCATTTGAAAGCATGGTTTGACTCCCCAGCAGAAAGCACAGGAGTGTGTTTGTCAAGGCTTGTGAGAACCCTGGTCCAGGTGTACAAAGGGACTTGCTCAGCATTGCATCGGGGGAAGGATAGCTCAGTGATTTGAGCATTGGCCTTGTGAGTTCAATCCTTGAGGGGGCCATTTAGGGCTCTGGGGCAAAAATCTGTCTGGGGATTGGTCCTGCTTTGAGCAGGGGGTTGGACTAAATGACCTCCTGAGGTCCCTTCCAACCCTGATATTCTATGATTCTTTCTACTGGCCAAATGCAATTATGGGTGTTTATAGTTTGATTATATAGATTTGATCTTCATATATTATTCTTTTAAAACAAATTTATTTCAGTGCCAGGGCTTTGGAGCTGTGCTCTGGCTCCGCTCCAACTCCAGGCAAAAACCTGCAGCTCCACTGCTCCGGAGCTGCTCTGCGCTCCAGGCTCCGCTCCAAAGCCCTATTTCAGGCTCTTCCTTTTTTCCAGTGATTTAGTATTTGTATAACTCCAACACAGGATGCTTTTAATTGAGCCCCATGCTACAGAAAATGGTACCAGAGCCTAAATGATCAGGCAGGGAGCTAATTTCTTCACATTGCTTTTCTTTTCTCATGGAATTGATTTATTTTAGATCTCCTTAAAAATTGTGGGAGGAGAGAAAAGATTTAAGATGAGATTGCAAGTTAGAAAAGCAGTAGGCTGAATAGCACGCTTTCGTTTTTGTACTTACGCCCAAGTGTGACTGCAGCATTGAAGACGGTTTGATCTGATTTTAAAACAAACGTGGATGTTTGCTAAATTATTGTTAAATAGCAAATGAACTGATTTCTAGTTTAGGAGTCCATGACTGGGATTCCCAGGCTACAATAATATAAATAATAATATTCATCTAAAAGAGAAACTGTTGTTAGGTTGACAAAAGAATTCTGCCGGCAACCTAGCTGCGCCTACGGTGGGGGCTAGGTCGATCTAACTATGTCACAGAGGGCATAAGGCCATAAGAACGGCCCTACTGGGTCAGACCAAAGGTCCAGCTAGCCCAGTATCCTGTCTTCAGACAGTGGCCAATGCCAGGTGCCCCAGAGGGAATGAACAGAACAGGTAATCATCAAGTGATCCATCCCCTGTCACTCAGTCCCATTTCTGGCAAACAGATATTTTTTCACAACCCTGAGCCATATGGCCAGGTTGACCTAAGATTTAGGTGTAGAGCAGGCCTCTCAGAGCCTTGGACTACCTACATCAATGGAAAACCCCTTCCATCGATATAGGAAACGTCTGCACTCTACAGCGTAGCTGTGCCACTGTAATGCAGTGTGACAGCCTCAGAGCGGCCTAAGCCTGATTTGGCAATCACCCCCATGCGCGTCCAGTTGAGGAGATAACTGGCTAAGGACAGGATGTTTAACCAGTTAACAAGGCGATTCAGCTCCTCAGCTGAGGACAGTTAAAAGAGAGACAGGAAGAGGAAAGAGCAGGGAGGGGTTGACAGGAAGGAAGAGCCAGTGAAGCCCAGGATCTCAGGGAGGTGTGAGGTCTCTTCATTCCCCTCCATCCCCCACCCCCCTGCTTAGAGGGAATGTAAAAGTTGTATGTTGTTGGAGGGACAAGGACTTGTCTACCGTAAATAAAGCACTTGGTGTTGAACTTGCCACTGGGGTACATAGCACTGCTTGCAGAGAGGAATCCAGGGTGAGGGAACCCTGCCCTGTGACGTGCTGACTAAGATTTCAGGTCTATTTTTAGTTAATGACAACAGAAGCCCTGGTTCGTGGGGACTCAGAGAAAAGAGTCATCTGTAGTCTTCAAAGAATACAGCCTCAAGCACAATACAAATGAAGATGGTACTGGAAAGCCAGGGCCAGGAGAGACATCCTGATTTAACTTGGGGCTCAAGTCAGCGGGAAGCAGCTCACGCTCCATACGAAAAGCCCTAGAAGCAGCAAGCATCGCATTAGCATTTCAACCAGTCCTGAGGGCCCCCCATGACTTGTAGAGGAGGCCCTGCAGCTGCAGGTTTGGCAGCCTTTATTCCACAGTCAAAGGAAGGAGCGGGGTGGGGAGCAGAAGGGTCAAGAAGAGAAAAGAAAGAAACTGCTCGACTCATTTAGGAATTGTAAATTGGGCAAAGGTCACAATGGGATGTATAAATTAACTGAACGCTGGAAACGAAAGAATCCAACATCTGCCACAAATGGCAGGCAAAAAAACAATGGAACATAACAGAACCCTGGAAGACCTGGAAGGAATTCCCTCCTTTGCAAAACCTTTAACTAAACCCCTCGCCCACGAAACTTACCTCCTTTAAAAAGACATCATTATTCACCAAAGTCACTCGACTGTACTGAAAGCCATTCCGAGATGTGGAATCCAGATATGAGTTATGCAGCACTGAAACTGCTGTCTGGTAAAGGGAACTTGAATCCACTGGCATTTGGTGAAAAGCTGTAAGTAAAACAATAAAGAAGTGAAAATATTCATGAAGACAATATGTGTACACAGATCACCACAAAAAGCAACAGGGGGTCCTGTGGCACCTTTAAGACTAACAGAAGTATTGGGAGCATAAGCTTACTTCTTCAGATGCAAGAAGTGAGGTTGCATCTGAAGAAGTGAGGTTCTTACCCACGAAAGCTTATGCTCCCAATACTTCTGTTAGTCTTAAAGGTGCCACAGGACCCTCTGTTGCTTTTTACAGACTCAGACTAACACGGCTATCCCTCTGATACAGATCACCACAAGAGTCTCTTCTGATTTTGGTAGCAGCTGAGCAAAACCATAACAAACATTGCTAAACTTATTGATAATTCAACAAACCCTGACATTAAATTACAATTAAAAATGAAAAATAAAATTGAGTCCATGGGGAAGTGAGGTCTCAACTCATTTCCCTGGTGCATGCAACTCAGTTCTACGTCGGACTTGTATATCAAGCTCTCTCTAGTTTCTATTTGAATTGGGAAGTCTCTTGGTAGCAACTACCCTCAAATTCATGCAATCTACAATACTTTATAGCTGCAGTTTAAACTACTATCAAACAGGAAGAACATGAGTTCACTGATCTCCTCTAGCTTCATTAATAATCTCTAATGACTACTGAGTTCAGTCCTCACACTTTTCTCACAGGACCCCTTCTCTCAATCCTCTCTAAAGAGACATGAAGCTGAGGAAGACTTATTTTATTCCAACCAGGCACACCTTCAAATTCCTTTTCACAGCCCTGTTTTTTTTTTGCAAATTATATAAATGCAAAACCAAAGAGAATAACATTTAAATAATAGGGACAAATGAGACCTTACAGCAAATTATGTTTGTGATTCCTAATAATGCCAGATTTGATCATAATATTACAAATAATATCTTAGATCTGTTGTCCCTCTGCTGAGCAGCAGTGTCTGTTTGGACCTTGGGGGTCGGCTTTGTCTTGGAAGAGAAATCAATGATGTGGAGTCAGGGTATTTTCTCTGTGTAACTTGTTTATTTACACTATATATACCAGTCATTGAACAAAGGTCACTAACCACATGCAGGCAATCCCAATCCCTCTTTAAGAAATCTCAGGCCAAACACCACTGCCCATTCCCAGGAAGCCACTCTTCAGCAGTAAGAATTAATTCTAGTTAGAGAGAATGATTAAAGCAGAAAAACGCATTGTTTACCACAGCTCCCCCAAAAGAACTGTGGTAAACAGCCAGTCACAAAACTAACATTAATACAGTTTCTTCAGACTGTATGCTGCTCACCTGCTAAGAAAAGGCCCTTGCAAACCCAGGTGTAACGGTAGCAACTGGTGATTCATGCCATAACAGATCCCAAACTTTACAAACTATACGTAAATATATTTGACTAGGAAAAAACAGTGTATTATTATAGAGCTATAGTTGCTAAAATCCATTCAGAGAAAACACAAACACTTAACATACAGGAAATCCTGAATTAAGGTCCTAAGACTTTACAAATCTTTATTACCGGTGAGGGTGCACAAGCCGGGGGCTTCAGTTCACAGATTTAGTTTGCAGTACAGACAAATTAGAAAAGACGTTTTTGACTTGTGAACTGAAAATAGAACATGAGCTCGAAGTCACTGAAAGCTCACAATGCCATTTTGAGAGTAATTTTTCAGTGTACAGTGCTGCTTTAAGAAAGATACCAGGAGATCTGTAAAGACAAGGGGTTAGATCTCACGTGAAAAGTATTATCTTCATCATAGCTATGACTAAGTAAGAGATAATTAGTCTCTGTCACACCACATTTTTCACTTTTATGATCTCGTTTTTTTTCAAGTGAGTTTGACGGTTTTTCTTTTTTGCTTCTTTGCAATAAAAAACCTCCCTAGTCCTCAAATCCCATTATCCCTGTCAATTACTCAGATCCAAAAAGATCTAACATAAGGAAAATAATAGCCCAACACTTCCAAACTGGCAAGTTTTTAATTTATTTAGCATGGGCAATGTTGTCTATAGCCTCTGAGTTATTTGATTTTGCATTTCTGCAGCATATGATTTACAACAATAAAAGGGAGATAAACTCTAGTTTTATGTGAATCAAATGAAAGGTATGAAGAAAGGCAATTATATCAGTAGAAAACCAGAGTTAAATAATTGTTGTAATAAATGCATTTAGAGGACAGACAAGAATGGACATCAGGTGTATAATTATGGAAATTAATTATTCGGAAGTGCCTTTTTCTCTTTTAACCTTCCTGTGGGAAAGTTACCTCTTTTTTCCCTGCTCACATTTGCCCTTTATCTATCCTGTATTGTACTAATCACTCTGTTGGGATTATTATTTAAAAAGTAGAAGTAAAAAAGTAAGAAGCAGAACTATTTTTCCTAAACACACAAAGATGAAAAATATAAACAGCTTAAAGAAAAACATCTGAAAGATATTAAATGTATTTTCTCTTATTGAACCTAATGATGATGATAAAGAGGAATATATTAGTTTGTTTTTTCCTGCCCCCTCTTTATTTTGCTTTGTCTATAGCTTTTCCTCTCACATCTTGAAGATATTAAAAAGATAACATGGGAGGTCAGACTTATTTCTGTAAATCAGATGAGGTAATTTTATTCTACCTATATAAAATTCCTCAGTGGTTTCAATTGAAATATACTAGCTTTCTTCCCTTCATGTCCCAAATTTTACATTCCACCTCAGTGATGGCTGAATTTCATTGGTGAAGGAAGTAAGCTCGTAAATCATTTTACTCACACAGGTCGTCCCTGTGATTTTAATGGCGCCGAGGCACAAAACAAGATTAAACTGGCTAGAGACACAAAGAGTAACAAGAAAACATTCTACAAATACATTAGAAGCAAGAGGAAGACCAAGGACAGGGTAGGCCCATTACTCAATGAGAGGGGGGAAACAATAACAGAAAATGTGGAAATGGCAGAAGTGCTAAATGACATTTTTTGTTTCAATTTTCACCAACAAATTTAGTAGCAATTGAACATCTAGCTTAATGAATGCCAGTGAAAATAAGATAGAATCAGAGGCTAAAATACGGAAAGAACAAGTTAAAAATTACTTAGACAAGTTAGATGTTTTCAAATCACCAGGGCCTGATGAAATACATCCTAAAATACTCAAGGAGCTGACTGAGGAGATGTCTGAGCCATTAGCGATTATCTTTGAAAAGTCATGGAAGATGGGTGAGATTGGAAAAGGGCAAATATAGTGACAATCTATAAAATGGGGAATAAAGGCAACCTGGGGAATTACAGACCAGTCAGCTTAACTTCAGTACCTGGAAAGATAATGGAGCAAATAATTAAGCTATCGATCTGAAGAAACCTAGAAGATAATAATGTGATAAGTAACAGTCAGCATGGATTTCTCAAGAGCAAATCATGTCAAACCAACCTAATAGCTTTCTTTGACAGAGTAACAAGGCTTGTGGATGGGGGGAACTGGTAGATGTGGTATATCTTGAGTTTAATAAGGCTTTTGATACTGTCTCACATGACTTTCTCATAAACAAACTAGGGAAATACAGCCTAGATGGAGCTACTATAAGATGAGTGCATAACTGGTTGGAAAACCATTCCCAGAGAATAGTTATCAGTGGTTCACAGTCAAGCTGGAAGGGCATATCGAGTGGAGTCCTGCAGGGATCAGTTCTGGGTCCAGTTCTGTTCAATATCTTCCTCAATGATTTAGATAATGGCATAGAAAGTACAGTTATAAAGTTTGCAAATTATACCATGCTGGGAGGAGTTGCAAGTACTTTGAAGGATAGAATTAAAATTCAAAATGATCTGGACAAACTAAAGAAATGGTCTGAAGTAAATAGGATGAAATTCAATAAGGACAAATGCAAATAACTCCACTTAGGAAGGAACAATCAGTTACACACATACAAAATGGGAAATGACTGCCTAGGAAGGAATACTGCGGAAAGGGAACTGGGGGTCATAGTGAATCACAAGCTAAATATGAGTCAACAGTGTAACACTGTTGCAAAAAAAGCAAACACCATTCTGGGATGTATTAGCAGGAGTGTTGTAAGCAAGACATGAGAAGTCATTCTTCTGCTCTACTCCGAGCTGATTAAGCCTCAACTGAGAATTGTGTCCAGTTCTGGGCACTGCATTTGAGGAAAGATGTGAACAAATTGGAGAAAGTCCAGAGGAGAGCAACAAAAATGATTCAAGGTCTAGAGAACATGACCTATGAGGGAAGATTGAAAAAATTGGGGTTCTGGTCTGGAGAAGAGAAGACTGAGGGGGGACATGATAACAGTTTTCAAGTCCATAAAAAGTTGTTACAAGGAGGAAGGAGACAGATTGTTCCCCTTAACTTCTGAGGATAGGACAAGAAGCAATGGGCTTAAATTGCAGCAAGGGCAGTTTAGGTTGAACATTAGGGAAAGCTTCCTGTCAGGGTGATTAAGCACTGGAATAAATTGCCTAGAAAGGTGGTGGAATCTCCATCATTGGAGATTTTTAAGAGCAGGTTAGATAAACACCTGTCAGGGATAGTCCAGTTAATACTTAGTCCAGCCATGAGTGCAGGGGACTGGACTAGATGACCTCTCGAGGTCCCTTCCAGTCCTATGATTCTACTCACAAGAGTCACTCACCTATGCGTTTGTAAGATTGGGGTGTTGGGGCTTCAGTGAGACTCCACACGGATCTAAGAGTCTGCTTGCATAGATCCAATTACAGTATTGGGACCTGTGTTTGTCTAATGCCTCGGGATCCTTTGGAATAGAAAGCACTATTAAAATGTCAGATACTCAGGTATTACTCGCTGAGGGAAGCTAGACCTTACACTCAACTCGATGGCATTTCTCTGTCTGCCTGTAAAACAATCTCTTTTGAATGCCACATTTTGTAATTATATTTCTCGCTTTTTCTCTAATTCTCATTTAAACACTTTGGATTTACACCTGGTTTCAGGACCAGCGGTAGCCACTTGCAGGAAGCTCCTATAATTCTCAG